GTGACGTCGGGCGCTGCGTAGCCAATGCAAATTGATTTGTTCCTTTTGGCTACAAAAATTATCTGATCTGATCCAAATTCAGCAACCGGATAGATATAGTCATTCTCTATGATTCTGCGTTTTTAGTTTTCTCAAATCTGCAATATTGTGGATGCAACAGATTTTCGTCCTTTGTGGGGGCGGATGGGGGTGGGGCGAAATTCTGAGATATACGTTTTATAGTGACATCTTAAAGGAGTGTGTGCACCAAATTTGGTTACTCTAGCCTTAATAGTCTCTGAGATTTGTGGTTGCCTCAGATTTTCGTCCTTTGCGGGGGCGGAAGGGGGTGTGGCGAAATTTGGACAGGAAACGGTCAAGGTCCGATATCACAGGAGTGTGGATACCAAATTTGGTTGCTCTGGCTTTTATAGGTTCTGAGATCCTTGAACTCATATTTTGCAATTGGCAAAACCGACCATGAAACCTGTGTGTTAGAGTGAGACAGAGCGAGAAAGAGTGAAATTGTTTTCGTGATTCTGGCTGTAATAATTATACGATCTGGTTCAGATTTTGCACTCTAGAAGATATAGTCATCTTCTACGATTCTGCGTTTTTAGTTTTCTCGTATCGTCGAAATTGTGGATGCCACAGATTTTCGCCCTTTGTGGGGGCGGAAGTGGGCGGGGCAAAGTTTTGAAATATTTTTGGAGCAGTGACATATCACAGAAGTCTGGATCCAAAACATCGTTGCTCTAGCTCTTATAGTCTTTGAGCATTAGGCGCTGAAGGGGACGGACAGACGGACAGACGGACAGACGGACGGACGGACAGACGGACAGACAGACAGGGCTCAATCGACTCGGCTATTGATGCTGATCAAGAATATATATACTTTATGGGGTCGGAAACGATTCCTTCTGGACGTTACACACATCCACTTTTACCAAAAATCTAATATACCCCAATACTCATTTTGAGTATCGGGTATAATTACCAATACGTACTCACCTGACACGCCATCGGCAGAGCTGCCCCACCAGCAGATGCCACGACAAATAGTCCAAACCTTTGCTGCTAATTTGACCACATTCTGGGAATATATTGACGACTCTCCTGACAATTTACCGCACAGGTCCAGAGCAGCCACTGAAATAAAACAAAACGAGGGGGAACGTTGTGAGTTGCTGCCGACACCGCAACCTACAGTTATACCGGATACTAAGTCAGTAGTCAAAAAATGCGTGCGAGAGAGACAGAAAATCAGTCTGAGCGTGACGTCGGGCGCTGCGTAGCCAATGCAAATTGATTTGTTCCTTTTGGCTACAAAAATTATCTGATCTGATCCAAATTCAGCAACCGGATAGATATAGTCATTCTCTATGATTCTGCGTTTTTAGTTTTCTCAAATCTGCAATATTGTGGATGCAACAGATTTTCGTCCTTTTGTGGGGGCGGAAGGGGGTGGGGCGAAATTTTGAGATATACGTTTTATAGTGAGATCTAACAGGAGTGCGGATACTAAATTTGGTTACTCTAGCCATAATAGTCTCTGAGATTTGTGAATATCCCCAGATTTGCATCCTTTGCGGGGGCGGAAGGGGGTGTGTCGAAATTTTAACACAAAACGGTCAAGGTCCGATATCACAGGAGTGTGGATACCAAATTTGGTTGCTCTAGCTCTTATGGGTTCTGAGATCCTTGAACTCATATTTTGCAATTGGCAAAACCGACCATGAAACCTGTGTGTTAGAGTGAGACAGAGCGAGAAAGAGTGAAATTGTTTTCGTGATTCTGGCTGTAATAATTATACGATCTGGTTCAGATTTTGCACTCTATATAGTCATCTTCTACGATTCTGCGTTTTCTCGTATCGTCGAAATTGTGGATGCCACAGATTTTCGCCCTTTGTGGGGGCGGAAGTGGGCGGGGCAAAGTTTTGAAATATTTTTGGAGCAGTGACATATCACAGAAGTCTGGATCCAAAAAATCGTTGCTCTAGCTCTTATAGTCTTTGAGCATTAGGCGCTGAAGGGGACGGACAGACGGTCGGACGGACAGACGGACGGACGGACAGACAGACATGGCTCAATCGACTCGGCTATTGATGCTGATCAAGAATATATATTCTTTATGGGGTCGGAAACGATTCCTTCTGGACGTTACACACATACACTTTTACCACAAATCTAATATACCCCAATACTCATTTTGAGTATCGGGTATAATGACGTCAATTCACATACCAACAAAATATGGACAAAACTCAAAATAATCACTCGTACCTGCCACGCCTCCGACAGATCTGCCCCTCCAGCAGCTGCCCCGTCATCAACATCAACACCACACATTTGATGCCAATCGGACGACATTTTAGGATTTATTGACGACGCTCCTGACAATCCACCGCACAGGTCCAGAGCAGCCACTGTAATCAAACCAAAAATGACGTCAATACACACATCAACACAAAATGGTCCAAATACACACAAAACATACGTACCTGCCACGCCTCCGATAGAGCTGCATCTCCAGCAGTTGCCACGCCAAACTCACCATCCACTTTCTGCCAAATGGGCGAAATTTGAAGGCCCTATCGCGGTCGCCAACAACATCCAGTCCACAGGCTGCCGCTAAAAGGAGAAAAAACATCAATACACACATCAACACAAAATGGTCCAAACTCACACAAAGCATACGTACCTGCCACGCCTCCGATAGAGATGCCTCTCCAGCAGGTGCCACGCCAATTTCGCCATCCAATTCCTGCCAAATGGGCGAAATTTGAAGGCCCTATCGCCGTCGCCATCAACATCTAGGCTGCCGCTAAAAAGAAGAAAAACATCAATTCACGCATCAACACAAAATAGCCAATACTTCTACTAATCACACTTACCTGTCAATACACTCACAGATCAGCCTCTCCAGTACCTGCCTCGCCACCAACCGCAACATTGTGTTGCAAGTTGGGCCCAATCTGGACGACCCTCCGATTACGCTGCCGTCAACCGATGGCCGTGACGCCACGACATCATCACAAAACAGCAGCAGCAATCCAACGACGAGGCCAGCCAATACAGACGTCAATGGCCAGCGCTCCATCTCCATCTACATCGACAGTGCATTCTGGGTGGCCGGACCAGCAGCCTCTCGGATGCAGCCAATCCGCACTCATTTGCGGCCTTCTCCACTGCGGCCATTTCCACTGGTCAACGCACCCCGATTGGCCGGACCAGTGCCAATCCCCAGATCTCCAGGCAGAAGCAACGTGGGCGGCCGGACCAGAGTCGCTCGCCAAACACCATCACCATTTACGCCAACTCCTGGATCCAGCCTCTGCCAATTCTGATGCCGCAGATGCGCGATCTGCTGCATCACACACACGTGCACATCCAGCGCTGAGGCGGATGCGCCCTGTGCCATCCACACTGCTCCAGACGACGACGATGATCCTCCAGGATCAGAGGGGGATGCGGATTTGGCATAGTTGGAGACGGACTCGCCAGAGAGTACTCTGAGCTCCTTGGGAGCTACGGTGCTGGAGTTCGAGCGTCGATTCGTGGACAGGGGTTTATATGTTAAAAAATTCCCGCCAATCCCACCAAAAACTGACGCTAACACACAAAAACAACAACCGCCACCAAAGACACCAACAAAGACGCAGACAAAAATTGCTCCCAGAAGCGAAAGTGCAACGGGTTCCAAAAATAGCGGCGCTTTCGCTCTAACCAATGAGCATTTAAGAGCACACAAACAAAACAAAAACAAATGTTATGCCCAGACGTTTTCGCGCCAAACCATCAGCGAAAACAAAAACAACCAAACAACTCACACAAGCATCATAGAGAGCGACGCTTGCGCTCTCTCGGCATCCGAACCCTCGGCGCACAATCAAAACGAAGGCGCGTCACTTCAAGCCCCAAAGCGTTTGCCGCCAAACATGCACTCACACACTTATGACAAAAAGAGAGATGCTTGCTCTCTCCCGCCGAACCAATACACAAACACAAACACGATTAATAAACCAAACGAAGCTAGCCTGACCTACGCCAATACCAAAACAAAAACGAGGGGGAACGTTGTGAGTTGCTGCGGACACCGCAACTCTACGGTTATACCCGATACTAAGTCAGTATGGCTCTCCTCCGGCAGACGCCGCTAATATTAAACGACACGACAAAGAGTGCGTGAGAGACAGAAAGAGAGAGAGACAGAAAATCAGTCTGAGCGTGACGTCGGGCGCTGCGTAGCCACTGCGAATTGTTTTCTTGCTTTTGGCTACAAAATCCGATCTGATCCGATCTGATCTGATCTTATCCAGATTCAGCAACCTGATAGATATGGTCATTATCTATGATTCTGCGTTTTTAGTTTTCTCGAATCTGCAATATTGTGGATGCAACAGATTTTCGTCCTTTGTGTGGGCGGTGGGGGGTGGGGCGAAATTTGGACACAAAACGGTCAAGGTCCGATATCACAGGAGTGTGGATACCAAATTTGGTTGCTCTGGCTTTTATAGGTTCTGAGATCCTTGAACTCATATTTTGCAATTGGCAAAACCGACCATGAAACCTGTGTGTTAGAGAGAGACAGAGCGAGAAAGAATGAAATGGTTTTCTTGATTCTGGCTATAATAATTATACGATCTGGTTGAGATTTTAAATTCTAGAACATATAAACATCCTCTACGATTCTGCCTTTTTTGGTTTTATCGAATCTATAAAAATGTGGATGCCACAGATTTTCGTTCTTTGTGGGGCGGAAGTGGGCGGGGCGAAGTTTTGAAATATTTTTGTGGCGTTGTGGGGTGGGGTGGGGAGACCTGAAAAGAGGGGAGAATCTGTTAGGAACACAACATCGAAGTGGGCCCTGAACTTGGAGCCGTTCAGAACTGGCTCTGGGAATCATTCAGTACAAATATCGAAAGTACAGGGAACATAAAGTAAATAAAAATACAAATACAAAATAAAGCTCATGAACGAATATTTCCTCACAGGTGCTGGAATAAGATGAATCCAACTATTAACAATCCACGTTCCCCATTCACCCGTTCGCGGGGTATTTTCGGATCCATGGGTTCCTTCGACTTTACCGACCAGCAGCAGCAGCAGCAGCAGCAGCAGCCGGAGCTGCAGGCCCCCCCCGAAGGTTCCGGTGACAAGAATGGACTCAATGCGCTGCCCTTCCTAGGCCAAATCCACACCAGTCCTCTGCTGTCCCGCCCAATGGATCCAATAGGTCGTGCATACCCCCCCACCATCCCTCCGATGGGGGATTCAGATGGGTGAGCGGCAGCAGCCCAGACTCCCCTTCCCCCCAGGACATAACTTACTCCCGGCTCCCCTGTAGATTCAATGCTGTGCCACAGATGGCATCGATGGGACCACCGCCCGTGTTGAGCTCCCTCTGGACAGGCGGCGCTTCTCCGGACAGCCGCGGAGACTACTACGACGGCCCGCACGAAGAGTACTCCGACGGCCGCTACGACTACTCGATGCCCACCGAGGAGGACCAAGAGGAGGAGTCGTGCTCCTGTCAGAGCCAGACCTGTCAGAGCCAGAGCGAGTTGAGCTCGATAGAGCGCACCGAGTCGGACTCGAAGTGGGAGGAGCTCTCCGACGGCCCTTCCCCCAGGGTCTCCCTGCTGGAGTCCCTCGGCGCAGTCGTGCTCTCCACAATGCAGCCGGAGCACCGTCAGCGCATGGTGGCCTTGTACCACCTCGTCTTGGAGACCGCTGTGGTCAAGGTCGTGCTGCTTGTGCTGCAGATGCTGTGCTGCGCGGTGTTCTGGCTGGTCGAGAAGACCGTGGGCGTCAACGAAACCGTCGGCTCGAGGCGCCTCCGATTGTGGAACAGCAAGTTCAAGCTGCGCACCATCCAGCGCCAGATGCTGTGGCGCATGGCCAATGCCCGGGGCGACGAGACGCTCGTCTTCTTTGCCGTGCTCATGACCACGCCCTGGCTGTTCTCCCTCAGCCTCCTGGGATTCATCCTGTCCCTGGCGGCGCTCCTGAAGAAGACCGTCGAGGAGCTGGTGTTCCAGATACGGCTGCACATCGTGCTGTAGGGGGCAGCCATCGAGCAGAAAGCAGCAAGCACGATCCAATCACACACTGACAGAAGACAAACGTCCACACGCCCGACACTCCACCCCTCCCCTCAGATGTTTGCACTTCCATTTGGGCATCTATTTTCGTTGATGCCAGAATCGCAATGCACGGAATCGTCTCTCCGTTTTTGGCCGCAATGAAAATATATGCCGAAATATTCGACATTCAAAGTCAAATTCAAACACAAGAGTTTCCAGTCGATCAGATATATCGTTTATGCATATTTCGATCCGTTCCGTTTGGACGGGAGGCCACTTGCTCATCCCCCATCCCCGTGATTGCATTTATTATTATTATTTTTATTTCGCTGCATATTTGTTCTGCAATTTATTCAATGATAAACGGATTTGGATACGGCGGGTACAATTAGTACAATTAGTACTTTCCATGAATGCTGTGACTACTGGTGATCTCCTCGTTGATCTTGACACACTCATCGAAGTTACCCAGATGGTAGGCATTGCCGGACAGCACTCCTGAGGGAATGGAGCCCCAAGCATCGATCACTGCTCACAAAATTCGTCAACTTCAGTTCTCATTCACTTGAATATAATTTTCATTATTTACTTACTCTTATGGGACCATAATTTTCCAGCAGTGACCGCCTGCATGAACTGCGCCATGTCCGCGAAACACAACAGATCCTCCTGACTGGGTATTCGGGGGTGGAATAGATCCAAGTCCGGGAGCGATGCATTACGGAAGTGTTCGGCAAACTCGACTCCCAGCGGGCGGAGCCTTTTTAAACTCTGGTAATCTTGCAGGACATCTCCGTCTTTCAGTTGTGCGGCACTGACAAGTACCAGTCCGCAGACAAGTAGACTGCTTAAAACGTTCACCATGCTAATACTTTTTCGATTGAAGGCATTGCACCTTTTGACTGTGATTTTATAGGAATGTTTTGAGGGAAATCTGGCGATAACATTATCAGTGTGTCAGCTCTCGAGTCGAGTATATCAGCCAAAATGCTTAATTCAGTCGAACATCACCGATAAGGAGCAATCCGTCTAAATTCTAAGTAGTCACAAGCTCAATTATTTATAATCTTTTCCCAGGTAATCGTTTTACTTATTGACTTTTGATGGATTAAATTTGGTTTTAATATGAGTGAGTAAGAAAAAAACGGAGAAAACAAAAGTTTAGCTAAACATGGATGTAGACAATTTGATCTATAATTCTGATCATTGCGTGAAAAGATGATAGCCGGGGTGCAATTATTACCATTAGTGGTGGCAGATCCTTTCTTTGTTTCAATTTTTTTTCCAATTCTCATAACAAGTAGCAGCAAAAGGGCGAGAGTTCGTGAAGAGATTCCGCCTCCCTGCAACAACCAAATTTAAAACGAGGGGGAACGTTGTGAGTTGCTGCGGACACCGCAACTCTACATTTATACCCGATACTTAGTCAGTATGGCTCTCCTCCGGCAGAGGCCGCTAATATTAAACGACACGACAAAGAGTGCGTGAGAGACAGAAAGAGAGAGAGACAGAAAATCAGTCTGAGCGTGACGTCGGGCGCTGCGTAGCCACCAAATTGTTTTCTTGCTTTTGGCTACAAAATCCGATCTGATCCGATCTGATCCAGATTCAGCAATCTGATAGATATGGTCACTAGCTATGATTCTGCGTTTTCAGTTTTCTCGAATGTGCAATATTGTGGATGCAACAGATTTTCGTCCTTTGTGGGGGCGGAAGGGGGTGGGGCGAAATTCTGAGATATACGTTTTATAGTGAGATCTAACAGAAGTGCGGATACCAAATTTGTTTACTCTAGCGATAATAGTCTCTGAGATTTGTGGATTTTCGTCCTTTGCGGTGGCGGAAGGGGGTGTGCCGAAATTTGGACACGAAACGGTCAAGGTCCGATATCACAGGAGTGTGGATAACAAATTTGGTTGCTCTGGCTCTTATAGGTTCTGAGATCCTTGAACTCATATTTTGCAATTGGCAAAACCGACCATGAAACCTGTGTGTTAGAGAGAGACAGAGCGAGAAAGAATGAAATTGTTTTCTTGATTCTGGCTATAATAATTATACGATCTGGTTGAGATTTTAAATTCTAGAACATATAAACATCCTCTACGATTCTGCCTTTTTTGGTTTTATCGAATCTATAAAAATGTGGATGCCACAGATTTTCGTTCTTTGTGGGGCGGAAGTGGGCGGGGCGAAGTTTTGAAATATTTTTGTGGCGTTGTGGGGTGGGGTGGGGAGACCTGAAAAGAGGGGAGAATCTGTTAGGAACACAACATCGAAGTGGGCCCTGAACTTGGAGCCGTTCAGAACTGGCTCTGGGAATCATTCAGTACAAATATCGAAAGTACAGGGAACATAAAGTAAATAAAAATACAAATACAAAATAAAGCTCATGAACGAATATTTCCTCACAGGTGCTGGAATAAGATGAATCCAACTATTAACAATCCACGTTCCCCATTCACCCGTTCGCGGGGTATTTTCGGATCCATGGGTTCCTTCGACTTTACCGACCAGCAGCAGCAGCAGCAGCAGCAGCAGCCGGAGCTGCAGGCCCCCCACGAAGGTTCCGGTGACAAGAATGGACTCAATGCGCTGCCCTTCCTAGGCCAAATCCACACCAGTCCTCTGCTGTCCCGCCCAATGGATCCAATAGGTCGTGCATAC